AAAACTTCGGTTTTCTATTATTACATAACAAAATAGCAATTAATTGGCATCTTACAATTATCAGCGAATAAATGTTTCACTGTATTGATCAATATTATACACGTACTGTCTTTTGAGTAGGTAAATGTGCGGTTTTATTGACTTTTGAAAAACTGATATTCACTGAGGCCGACGGCCGAAGTGAATATGAATTTTTCAAAAGTCAATTAAACCACATATTTACCGAAACAAAAGACTGTAATTGTTTTATTCCATATTCCGAGAGAAAACAATGTATTTAATGACAAATATTTACCAAAACCAATTGTACATCAAATATTTTACTATAACGTAACAAGTATGAGCGCGTGACGTTTAGCGCGGAGTATAGCTCTTTTCTCCAGGTGAAGATGCTTTTTTATTCAAAATCAAATTCATGTAGAGAAAACTACTAAAATAACACCAATGTGGAACAAGTACTACTCGGCGTTTTGCATTTGCGCCGATTTTGTCTTTCATATGCACCGATTAATGGTGAATGTTATTTTTTATTTATAATCATTATCAAACCTATAACTGTCATAACTGTTGTTCCCTGCTCATCATTGTAATGCAAATGAAACGATTTAGGGCCGTTTTTCGGCCATTTACAATTTTCAATGGGTGCAGCTGCCCACAAATGAGCTCGAGGTGAATAACGCGAATTTAAGTACTCAGTACGAAGTCTAATAATGCATGACATTTGACATCAGAAGGAGCGTCAGACATTATGCCAAACGTAAAGCAGTTCTCGATTTCATCTGGGGGAAGGAATGGTAGACCGAAAAATTACGATAACCATTTACCAGTGTCACTTGATTTGTCTTTATACTCTGTACTTAGCCCAACATACTGGATTTTCCTCCACCAGTTCTGAGCCAGATGAAAACGGCAACAATCTTTTTATATATACATGTTGGATGGAGAGTTACCTCATTGGCATTCATACCACATCTTCTTATATCTGTGTTATAATTGACAATTCATAGCATATGTAGAACTGGCTAAAGGAAGATGTTTATAATGATAAATAAAAAAATAACATGCACCTGTAATTTACCTGTACACAATCGGCGCAAATGAAAGAATCAATTAGGCGCAAATGAAAGATTGAAATTTTTTTAAATCGGCGCAAATGTCATACGCCCGTACTACTATAAGACGAAATAGTATAAGGTGTTTATTTTAAATGAGTTTCAAGTTTTCCATTTATTTTGATTAATTCATTAAAAGCAGACAATACAATCGCCAACTTTTACAACAGTCTTTTCGTCTGAACTACAGGGCCAAATTTAACCATTCTTGGCCACAACCAGCATTGAGGTATCTAGTTTTCAAAATGTGTCCGATGACACCGCCTGCAAACCAACATGGCCGATAGACTAAAAAAAAGAACATAAGAGTAAAATGCAAGTTTTGTCTATATTGATTTGAAAACTGCAATAAGTAGAGAAAATCTGAAATTGGTAGAAACGTTTAAAATGTTGAGATCTGCCTACTGTTCATTTACATCAAAACTGTCAGACGACTTCTTATAGCTGGTGTTGCCCTTAAATGACGAATTTTACTAATTTTGTTTTTCATTATTGCCTATTATTTGGAAATTTATAAAAAAATAAAAGAGATACTTTGAAATGCAAAATTGATCCACAAGACAAGATCTGCAAACAAGTCATCAAGGCTGAAATCGTTAGTCAACTCCTTGTTCGAGTTATTGGACTTTTATTAAAATTCTTTAAAATTATTTGCGTTTTTGCCTAATGACTTGAAAACTATAATATTAGATAGATGGAAACTTTAAAAAGCAAAACTGAACAGCTAGACATTACAAAATTATTTTGTAAAAAATATTTCCGTACTCTTAACAACAAAATTATTTTATTTATAACATTTTGTCCCAGGTTATAATTGTCTTTTTGACATTGTTTTACATATTGTATGTATATTGTGTCAGAGATCAAATTTATTTGTTCAGTGTATGTTTACTTGTTTTGTTAATATTTCTTTTTGGTCGAGTTAAGCCATTTCAATTGATATTTTATAGTGTGTCTTTCTATGTTGTATTGTTATACTACTGTTTCCGGTTAGGGTGGAGGTTGGCGCCTATTAAAATATTTAAACCCGCTGCATTTGTTCACACCTGTCCTAAATCAGGAGCATGTTGTTCAGTGGTTGTCGTTTGTTGATGTGGTTCATAAGTGTTTCTCGTTTCTCGTTTTTTAAATATATTAGACCGTTGGTTTTCTTGTTTGAATGGTTTTACACTAGTCATTTTTGGGGCCCTTTATAGCTTGCTGTTCGGTGTGAGCCAAGGCTCCGTTTTGAAGGCCGTACTTTGACCTGTAATGGTTTACTTTTTACAAATTGTGACTTGGATGGAGAGTTGTCTCAATAGCACTCATACCACATCTTCTTATATCTACGATTTACCAATAAGTCATCATGGCCAGTTGACTCCTTATTGGAGTAATTGCCCTTAAATGACATTTTTTCCGTTTTAGCCTAAACGTATTAAAAACTATAATCAAAAGATGGAAACTTTGAATACAAAACTGATCAGCAAGACAATTTCTTTAAAATCTTTTGCCGAAATCGTCAGTTGACTCCTTATTGTAGCCTTATCACCAATGTGTTGTGTTTTTTCAGTCAGTGTATTGGCATACACTTTTTTGTAATTCAATTATAAGGGTGTAATTTACCGATTTTTTTGTTATTTTACTGTTAATTAACGAAAATATAGCTTAAAAAATTTGGACCTTCACGTGGCTGAAATTGTCAAATCCATGATGTACGGGGGAGGCAACTCTTGAAATTTATCTTACTAAAGAGATAGGTAAAACATCGGTTTTAAAGAATAAAACTGTCGCATGGGAACGCACAAAAAAAAAAAATTAAAGAAAATGTCCATGTTTTCACAACATTTTCCATTAACATTTAAGCTATGTTTGAACAAGTTACCATGTGTGAAAAAAATCTATAATTTATTTTTAATGTCTGGTAAAAAAAAATGCATGCTAACTTGACAATTGAATTTTAGAGGCAAAGCTTATCTCGGTGATATGTATTAATACATTTAATTGTCTTGAAACATAACTTTTTTATATATTGTATATTTAGTCCTTGTCACATCTGTATGTCCGTACTCAAAGACATTGATAAATGTTGAGAAAGGTTGACAATCCGGAATTTGTCCGTCACTGGTAAAATAAAATTCTAAAATATAATTGTCCCCCGTTTGCCGCCCAGAAAAAAAGAAGAATGTCAACATTGAAAGCAAAACGAGAGAAAATCATTTGATTGACTGATTCGATCCACAAAAACTCATTCTTATACAGGTAAAAACGATGATAAACATATATTTTTAACCTATAATATGAAATCAAACAGACCTAGAAAAACCATTTGCACGAGTCAGCTATCTATTTATATCTGTATTTATGTTTATTTAGGGTTATATGACTGTCGACAGTCTTCGGAGGTCACCTCGATGGTTAATCAGATATACACGAAATGCTGATACATATTTTCGAGCCCATGCATTGTAAATTGTTTATTTTAGACTTTTTAGAATTTGGATATACGTTTTAGTATGTTATAAATAAAATATGAGAATTTGAGATAAACCGGTGAACATGAATTTGACAGCTAATGCCCCTATAAATAGAAAAAAATAATGATCTGTAAGAGAAGAGCTGCAAATATTTCATATTTTACCGTAATTGTTACTTGACTCTTTAAAGGAATTATTGCCCTTAAATGACAATTTTTCAATGTTTTTCGTGTTCTTGGCAAAAACTAAAGCAGATAGAGAGGAACTGAAAGCTGGAAAGTAATAGCAGCAATACATGATCAACACAAAAAAAGATTTTTGTCGTGAATTATGCTCTAGTCTACCATGTTGGAGAGTGTCCATTGTTGAAGATGCGCATATACCTCGGTGAGCGACACAGGCTTTTAAAAGCTTAATAGTAGGATTTCTTTTCGAAAAGAGTTGTCTATTATATTCCAATTGCGGCTTTTGAATCCCCATTGGTATTTTCTCGTCCTCTTTTAATTGTCAGCTAATTTCAATATCTTTTTATTTATTTTTTCATTTCAAACAGCATTCAGGGACACGGTAGAAAATTTAAGATAAGATCCATATAACCGATTTAACGTTTTCGTAAAAGAAATTGAATAGTATTTAGCAACAAAAGGGAGAAGCTTTCTTTAGACATGCAACATCCACATAGTGTATCTGTCAAAAATATACATTTTAAATCAAAAAGACACATTTTACTTGTCCTTAATATTTTGAAAAATATGGCTTTTCATAAATATTTTTAGTACTGCAACGCCAAAATATAATCTCAACACTTCAGGTAAATGTTCTGAGTTTTTTGTTATTTCTTATATATTTTATTCAAAGTTTTACATTTTATAATAATTTTTCGTGTTCAAGGGACAAATATTTAATTTGCCGGGAGGCCAGGAGGATTCAAAAATGAATATCCTGTCATAAAAATGAATAACTTTCCATAAGACAAAATGAAAATGAATATTCTGCAACGCCAATATATAATCTCAACACTTCAGGCAAATGTTCTGAAATTATTGTTATTTCTTATATATTTGTATCAAGTTTTACATTTTATATTCATTTTACATGTTAAAGGGACGACCGTTTATTTCCTGGGGGCCAGGAGGATTTGAAGATGAATATCCTGTCCTAAAATTAATTACTTAGCACAAGACGGAATGAAAATGAATAATCTGCAACATAAAATGAAGGAATCAATCGTGTATAAAAGTGCAAATAAATTTTCGCGCGGTAAAAAAAAAAACATTATTAGCAACAGATGAAAATGAATAGCCAATATGATAAAATTCCCAAACCCTATACTATCTATGCTTTGTGCACTGCCTTTATAAGGTTCGTCATTACCTTTTAGCAAATCAGGCCGTATTTACAACACAAATTTCACTCACCTGTACACCTGGAAAAGTTTTGGAGCGTGACTGGATCTAGATCTATAAAATTTAAATGTTTATGTACATATGTAGTTCTATAACTTGACTTGTGTTAACGAAGTCAGTAGTATAGAAGACCTCGAGCAGCTGATCCTAAAAACTTGGACCCTGATAACTGGTAATAGGTAAGTGATACACATTTATGAAATACTTGTTACAGCGGTGCCTTGTTTGGTTATGTAATTTTTGGTTAGATAGTTAGAGCGAAATTCTCTAATCGTAAATAAAGTTTTCTGAAATCTTCTGATCTTACAGCATTATCGCGCTGATTCAAATTATCAAATACATATAGCCAGCTCAAAGTGGCATTTTTTTTAGTATTTATTTTAAAATCAAGTGGAGAATATTTAACAGGTTGAGACGACTCGCCTAGATGGGTAATTATCAAAGGAATCGAAAAACATGGCAGTGTTTACACAACAAAATCTACTATGAGTACAGACAAAGGAAGTTTTTACTGTTTAAGGCATGGCAGGACCTAGATATATAAAAGTTATATGTAGTCTATGTTTCTGAAAATAAAAAAAACTTTTATTGATTTTGATGTGCATTTTTTTCCAGTCTGCAGAAAAAAGCAAAATAAACAAACACATTTGATACGGTCACTCAGTTACAAAGTCTCAATAACCTATCGTTTGCAGAGGTCTTTTGTTCATCTATTGTCCATTTAAATCATTACTACTCACATCATTTATTATATGAGGACACCTTCTCAAACCTCTTTCCAAACTCTATTTTGATACCTTCTGCAGGAATGAAAAAAAATGAATAGCAAAATCCGGAAAAAGTTTTTAATTTTCTGAAACATAAAATGCATTTAAAATTTAATTATCTAGTTCCTGCCATACCTTAAAACTTTTCAAGGTGAACAGGTTTGTCTGTACTCTTCTTCTTTTTTTTTAAATTTGTGATGTAACGATGGCCTATATTAGACAAAAGGTTTTGATGAACCTTAAATAACATGTCTGAGAAATAATATCCCAAATTAGATATAGAATGATTTTCATAACAATGTGGGCACCTGGTATTTAAATGTTATCGTGTCGGTCACTGACTGTCACGCAATATCAGTTAGCAAGGGGGCTCTCAATGGGGATGCGCGTAAATACTATCTTTACACATGTCCATTCATAAAATAAAAGTTTTTGCATGAATGCTTATAGAATTTTTTATACTAAGATTATTTTTGTTGGTAATAAGAACCTCAGACCTTCATAAAAATCATTTTTAGTCCTCTAGGCTACATATTTTTTTGGACGGAACAAATTTGAATTCCCTACGAGGACTCCAACGATCAGATTTTCGTGGTCACTTAAATATCATTCTAACAAAAACAAAAAACTCATGGAAATATCAGGAAGCATATAAATCCGGTCTTATGTGCAAAATTTACGTTCATTGGAGTCGGGTATTATATAAGGTCAGATATCAAACGCACGTATATACCGTAGATAGATAGGTTTATACATCAATGACATGTCAACACAAATATCGTGTTTTTCGACAGGTACATGGTGCTGGGTTGGCCTAAACTTTTTTAAAGGTCAATTAGCTTTTCTCTTGTGAAAAATCGGCTTTATTTTCAATAAGTTACTCAGAGAGTAGCTTTTGTTGAAACATTCATATTTATCTTAGATTTTGTAATTATCTGAACACTTTTAACAAAAGTTACGGGATCTATATTCTTTAACTAAAAATGAAGCAGGTAATTTCAATAAATTCGGTCTTACTCAACCTATTTATTGTTATTTGAAGACGCATATTGAAGACAATTCTGCATAAATATTTATTTTCTTTTTTTTTCATGTTGATTTCATAGACCTCTTGCACACCAACCCCCTCCCTTATTTTAGTTGAATCAGAAATGTTCGTCCCCTTACAATTTGAAAGTGTAGTCAATTCTTTTTCGGTTTCGGTGTTTCAATATCTATCAATGATATGATCACAGTACATCTGTTTTGGAATAATAAATCAAGTGCACAAGACTAAACTGTAACACGTGATAATGTACAGGTTAGGGAAAGACCATTTAACTTCAAAGGAGGGGTTTATGGGTTTTTTTCCTAAAAAATATTCTGATCCCCAATTTGATGAAGAAAAAAAATATTGCAGTCAAGCAGATGACAAAAAAACATTCAGAATCCAGATTTTCCCCATATCAATGGTGTTAAATTTTTAAAAAAATAATTAGATTCATAGTGTCGAAAAACTAAAAAAAAAATTTGTGCGAAAAAAAAATTTCTGACTCAGACAAAAATCCATAACCCCCCTTGAACCTTGAAGTTAAATGGTTGCTCCCTTAGTATGTCAACATTACCCGTAATCAGTGTAATAATAACATTTTGAGTGTCCCTCTGGTATCTTTCGTCCCCCTTTAAACTGGGTGCACTCGTATAATTATTCTAATATAAAAGGTATTGTGAACACATTTAATTCATGAATAGATACCGAAACACAAATTAAAAAAAGTAAGCATAATCCTAAATTCAATTGCTGTGATCCGTCAATTCGTTTTTCAAATCAATAAAAGTCTCGATATATCTATACTTAGCACAGACTCAGAGATGTGCATATTGATGGCTGTTACTATTTACACACGATAACATTTAAATACCATGTGTCCATGTCCATGCTGATTTGAAATTCTATAAACTGCCGTCCATTATCGTGGGTGAGTGCGTGTGTAAGTTGGGTCGTTTTTCAACAAAAACAATAAATTGTTTCTAAAAAAAATTTGGAAAGGAACAAAAAATTGTTTCAGAAAAAAGAGGGAAAAAAACTAATTGATTTACATTCAAAATGTGGGACAAAAAAAAACGACCCTGAGATTAAAAAAGCAATGTTCATGTATGTGCATGACAGAAAAAAAAACAATTCCACCACCACAAATCACATACACACAATCGGAAATGGAAGAATAGTCGGTGCATAATCGTGAAAGTTTCTGCTGCCAAGGGTTTTTCACAAGTATAGAAGTTAGCAGAAAATTTACAGTTTCCTATATACACCAAACAGTCCATTTTATTCCAACAAGTAAATGCTAATATTAAGGCTTGGTCCAAATAGCTATTTACTCTCTAATATCTTGCAAGTACGAAAAAGACCGTACGAAAGTTTATTTTGTCTATGTTTTGTAATTTCACAACAATTGAAAGTTGATCATGTATTCGTTCTAAAATAAAATTTTAAGTGAAAAAAATTGTATAACCGCAATTGTTAAATCACTTTGAAGTCCGAAAAACATAATATCCAACACGTGCATTGTAACTTTTAGTGCTAGTTAAATTAATTCTTATGTTTAAAGAACTTGCGATATCATAAATAATTGTTTATCAAAACATAACATTACTTGCCTTATAACTGATCAATTGCACTTTGCAATGTTTCCCTAAAACCCCAAACAAAAAGTCACAACCCAGCCGTTCGGAATTGGCACGTTTAAGCGGATGCTTCGTGTAATGGGAAATACCAAGCTCTTTGCACGATAAAGAACCAATCAAACAAATCCATTTATTGGGGGTCCGTAGGTGACCTGTTGTATTATGAAAATTCATGAATATTTCTAATTTTTCCCGTCCTTATACCGTTCGTCCCATCTTGCAAAATCTATATTGTATTAGTCTTTAAATCATACAATTTTGAAGAATTTCAAAACATGGCCAAAAAAGACCCGCCGACCTAACACCATGGTTTGTGGTTACCCTTAACCTGAGTTAGAAAGGGTAGGTCTTTGTTTTCTGAGTGTCTGGTAATTCGAAAAATCTCTAAATAACTTTTGGTTAGATCGATAGCAAATAACGGAGTTAGCTTCCCCAATTGGTAGTTTCTAGTGCCTTTCACCCAAATTATATCTGATATCAGGAAAGGCAAACCAATGTTATATTCGTGCACCATGATACATTTTGAACTTAAATTGATGTAAACTTTAGCAGGTTTTTGTTTGTCATGCTTTCTCCACTGTCTGATTCTTAGGCAGATTGGCACTTAGATGTTAATTTGTTCTCTTCATAAATATATGGCTAAAATAGTTGCAACCGGCCGTTTTAGAATCTAAAGGACTATGGGTAATTTTATTATTTGTACCCAAAATAATAATAACGCCACATCATTGGTTAAATATCGATTGTTTATGACATTTTCAACCAATGACGACGTTTTGGTGTACACTTTTGTAAATATTACCAAGAATGCATTAAATTCTGAAACGGCAAATTGGACGATTTGACAGCTACACTCAATCAATCCATATAACCACTGCACAATATCGTCCTGAATGTGTGTAAAATTATTTCAACGGGGTGTTTAGCAAGAAGCAATCAATCAATCATCGTAAGGATAACATGATCACTGGTTTTGACCTCGTGGTTCATAAGTTTTTCTAGATAGATGTAGTTAGACCTAGTTTTATGTCAGCATATTGTAATGATATAATAAATTTAGCAGCAAAGACACTTCCACCTGTTTAATCATGTTTGTATATATAATTTTTAAATCTATGCTATTTTTCTTCGGTTTTAGTATAAACCGGTATATAATGGACTGGAAAGACTGCTGGGAAAAGGGCACTTTGCCCTGGCATATGGAAGATACACATCCAAAATTTGTATTGCATTTAGACAAGATAACGGGAAAGAAGAATAAAGCTAAAATATTTTTTCCTTTATGTGGCAAGGCTGTTGAAATGTTTTATCTAGCCAAGAGGGGCCACACTATTGTTGGAGTTGAATACATTGAATTAGCTGTCAAGCAGTTCTTTGATGAAAATAAGCTGTCATTTAAAACAAAACCTGTACCAGAAATAGATGGCGATGTGTATGAAAACGAAGAAAACCGTATAAAGATTTATTGTGGAGATTACTTCAAATTTAGCCCAACTTTAGAAAAAAATTTTGATGGTGTTTGGGACCGTGGAGGTCTGGAAGCTGTAGATGTCGACCAGCGTGGGAAATATACAGACGTGATGAAATCTGTCATGAAACGAGGAGCTGGATGTGTTACAGAAGTGCCCGACCGTCCAAAAGGAGAAGGACCGCCATTTAATCTATCTGTCGATGAAATTACCCAACTCTACGACTTAAAGGCACCACCAGAAAAAATTGATTACGATCCGGCAAGCGAAATTCTCAAATCAATGAATGTGGATGGAATGTTTTATTATTATTACAAAATACAGTCATGATATGATCATATTGCAGCATTTTATGTATCTATCTCAAAATATTTACCGTAGATGATCACCCATTTTAATGATACTAGTACTTGTTTCATTCACAGGATTAAATGCAGATTTGTTGAAACTTTTTAGTCAACAATAAGCAATTTGTATTAACACCTTGATTTTTATGTTTTAGTTTTCTATGTTGTGTCTATAATACTGTTGTTTGTCTTTTGGTATTTTTTTTTATATCTATCTCAAAATATTTTTTTAATATATATAACAACTTGTGCAAATCAAAATGCTAAGCATATCAATTTTTTTTCAAATTTCAGACGATGGTACACATTTCTCCCATAGAGTATTCTAGCTTCAAAATCACTTCATTTGTTAATTCAGTATTTAATATATGAACCCACTTGTTATTCTTTCATTATATGGGGAAGGTAGTTTGATCAATCATCTAACCCGTTCAAACCAATTACTGTTTCTTTTGGCTTAACATATTGCTGTTTTTCCACTTTTCCATTAAAAACTACAAATAATGGGTGTCAAATGTACTAAATGGTTTGAATCACTTATGTAGTAGACAACAACAAGTTTGTATTAATGGTTCTGATTTAAGATATATTACATGTGGATTACCACAAGGGAGTATTTAAGGCCCACTATTATTCATGTATTATGTTAATGACATGTCTATAAGCGTTAGCAAAGACTGCAAAATATTGTTATTTGCAGACGATAGTACCAGACTATATTCGGATAAGAACCCAAAAGTTATATTTCAGAAACTGGGTAAGGAACTTGAATCTTGCAGTAAATGGCTGATCGATAATAAATTATCACTTCATTTGGGGAAAACATAAACTTTTATGTTAAGGTCTAATCTTAAATTGGTGAAAAATTCTTAACTTTGACGTTACTTGTAATAATCACATAATTTTATCACAGAAATGTGTGAAATATAAAGTCTAAGTATTGATTATTCTCTTTCTGGAGAAAATTTTTTAAATAATGTTATACAAAAGATAAACTCGCGATTTACTGAGTTTCTATACAGACAGGCCAAATGTTTACCAGAACATTCTAGAAAAACTTTAGTTACAGCTTTAATTCAATGTCATATGACTATGCCTGTTCTGCATTGTATGCAGGTGTCAGTAAAAAATATAAAAAATATAAAAATATAAAGTTACAAGTATTATAAAACAAATGTGCTAGATGTATAAAACAAAATACTGGATATAGATCCGAAGTTGACCATAATGTATTGAATAGTATTGATTGAAATCGTGTTATACAATTAAGATTAAACCATGTTCATTATATTTATTACCATCGTTGTCCTAGTTACAAAGGTGAGACATTGTCATAATCATTTCACAAGAAATAGTGATATAACTTCTGGGTTCCACCAGTTGAGAGTCAACAAAAAGATACTTGTTATTATAATGGTATACAAGATTGGAATATGTTACAAATTATGTTAAAAAAAATGCATTCAAAATTAGCGTTAAAGGGTACTTGACAAAAAGTTAAAATGTGGTTTCATCTGACTGCTTTTTATATTATTAAATTTGGTTTTTTATTAAAATTACTTTTATATGAAGTTTTATGTCAGATTTATTTGTGTATTATCAATTTTGTATGTCGAAAATATAAGCGGTTTACATGAAGGGACCCCATTGGAAACAAGCTTCAGAGCTAGATGGGTTATCCCTGATAAAATATCAGCATTTTGTTTTCCGTACACAAAAGGTACTATATTCACCAAATGCTCTATTTTATCAAGTATGCGTTTGTATATGTCTTTGTATATTGTATAGTGTGTATTGTAAAACTTGTATGCTTGATATTTTATTGAATAAAATATTATTATTATTATCATTATTATAAGAGCGTGGTAGCAGGAGCAAAGACAATTAGACTAGAAGACACAATTATGTGTTCTTGTAGAGTGAAATATGTCCATGCATGGGGTAATGCTAATTTGTAACTGTAATGCCTTGTTATGTATTACATTTTCCCCAAGTATTGCATGTAATATACAATGCCCCAATTTTGTCATTACATGTCATTGTAATGTAATGCATTTCATTGGCACATTGTATGTAATTTATATGATAGTTTATTACATTATATTTTTGGTTGTCCAATAAAACCAATTATCGGATAATAGTGTGTGAACAAATTCATGACGTACTTTAATTCATGAAATCTTCTCTGTGTATGGTTTCACCATTAATATTTTATGTAATGTGTGTCCAAAATTAGTAAAACCCATGTTTTGACAAATGTCCGGTGATTTCGCACAAGCTTCCTAAAAAAAGCTTATTTGGAATACAGGAAAGATTTTTTACTACGAAATATAGTTCAACTTGAACCAAACAGATTGTCAAGAATACGGAGCAAAATTATTTCATTCTGATAAAAAGAATTGACTTAAAATTCAACCAATTATATCGATGTATTATTTTTAAGGGAAAACGGCTAAATATGGTCAATCATGGGATTGCAATTATTAATTTATGTTAGAACTTATCAATTTTAATACTTTGTGTCCCTTTGGAAGACTGAAACAATTACAAGACCGACAGCCTGGAGCTGGAATTAAATGCGATGCCAGGCTAAAAAACGACTCTATGTGTATTAGTTTGCGGATATGAGGAAATCAGGTAATACACGATATCACCTGCCGCACGGACACAGGGGATTCCACTGTAAATTTTGATGTGAAAATGCATCCATTTTAGCCAAAGGGTCAAAAGGAATTGAAAATATGGCCTTGTTTACACCTTAAAATTTACTCTAGGTTCAGACAACCCCTACATTTATCAGTAGTTTATGCCCTTACATTTAACAGTTGGGGGTTTTTTTTTGCTTGTGCGAGAGCTGTCTACATATTCCATTATAATGATGTTCTATCATGTGGTCTCTTGTGAAGAGTTGTCTTATTGGCAATCATACCACATCTTCTTATTTTTATATTTACTGCAGGGTTTGCTACTCGTGCTGTGTGGATGCAGTAGAATGTGTCCTCGTGGCAGTATTGTATGCCCTTACATTTTACAGTTAGGGTTTTATTTGCCTGTGAGAGAGCTGTCTACATATTCTATTATATTAATGTTCTATCATTTGGTCTCTAATGAAGAGTTGTCACATTGGCAATCATACCACATCTTCCTATTTTTATATTTACTGCAGGGGTTGTTACTTGTGCTGTGTGGATGCAGCAGAATGTGTCCCCCGTGCTGATAGTGTATGCTTCTACATTTTAAAGTAGGGTTTTTTTTGCTTGTGAGAGAGCTGTCTACATTTTATTCCATTACATTAATGTTCTATCATTAGGTCTCTTGTGGTGAGTTCTCTCATTGGCAATCATAACACATCTTCTTATTTTTATAAACCTGTTTACCTATAAAAGTTATGAGGCATGGCAGGAACTAGGTAAATAAAATTTGAATGCAATTTATGGTTCTGAAAATTAAAAACTTACCAGAAATTTGAGATTCCTTTTTTAATTCTACAGAAGCTAAAAAAAAAACACTCGAGTGTCAGTTTTTATAAATAACATTTTGTTGTGCATATAGGTGTCAGATAACCAATTCAAAATTAGGTTTAGTCCCCCATTTTCTGCATAAGAAAATACCTGTACTAAGTCAGGAATATGACAGTTGTTATCCATTCGTTTGATGTGTTTGAGCTTTTGATTTTGTCATTTGCTTAGGGACTTTCCGTTTAGAATTTTCCTCGGAGTTCGTTTTTTTTTTTGTTATTTTACTTTTTCCCTATCTATTCAACCAAATTTTGCAATTTTCACAGCTTTCTAAATATTAAACCTTAAGTTTAACTTCATAGAAACCAGGCATATCATGAATTTTTACATGTATCACCTTTCTATATGCCAATTTTCAACCAATGTTGTAGCAAAATACTAATGGTCGGTAGACATGTATTGCTAAAAATAACCCCTGGTTTTCTAGAAATCTCAATAAGTATACTATGGAGCGCATAAATCTTCACTTTTTAATGCAAACTCGTAGGCAAGTAAATTTTGGCTCAAAATGGACTACATATATTTCTTTCAACAAAAGTTTCATTTTTGCAAATTTGTTGGTTAGTTTAAGTAAACAATGACATCAAAAGCACCAGTTTTTGTCAGGGAAGGGATACTTTTACATACGTTCGAAATTGAAGTTGGTGAATTGGTGGTCTGACACCTATATGTATTGTCCATCTATTGTCGAGTTTATCAATACAACTGACAACAATTATTTATAAAGGGGAACAGCTCAAACATTTTTCCAAACTAAGTTTATTTTAGCACCTTCTGTGGAACGAAAAAAAGGAACCTTAAAATCCAAGAAAGTTTTCCGAAACATGAAATGCTTTAAAATTTAATTTTCTTTTATTCCATTATTGCCGATAGCTATAAAATCAGCTGATTACTGATTTCTATCAAAATCGTAACGAGTTTAACGTGAGTTCCCAGTATTGTATGATGAAGGAAAAAATCCGAGAAACCCGAAAAAGTAAACAAGATGGACGATTTCAAACCTTGATATATCTTTAGCAAAATTATTTCGCCAATAATGAATTTTAATCGCCACAATTTTTATTTTTAGCAAAATGCGAAATTGGCAACCGCCAGGGGAAATCCTGGTTGTGCATATATCTATTATCGAGTTAATCAATATAACTCACTACAATTATTTATATAGGGAAACATCTCAAACATTTTTCCAAACTTATTATGGCATCTTCTATGGATGAAAAAAAACCCTCAAAATACAGAAAAGTTTTCCGAAACATAAAATGCATTTGAAATTTAATTCTCTAGTTCCTGCCATAGATTAAAACGTGTTAAGTGCACAAGCTTGTCTGTACTCAGATTAAAATGTGTGGTGTAAATACGGCCATATTAGCCAAAGGTTATGATGAAATTTAAATAGATAGAGCGATATTCTCTTACTTTAATCTAAAATAGAGTTCTAAAATCTTATGATTTTACAGTATTATCGCGTTTATTCAAATTGTGGAATACATATAGCCAGTTCAAAGTGGCATTTTTTAGTATGTAATTCAAGTTCATATGAAACAGGTTGCGACGATTCGCCAAGATGCATAGTTATATTATATAGCCCGTTTAAGAAATAATATCCTAAATTTGATATACATTTAAAGTGCAAAATATATTGATTTTGAATTGCATATAAAATTATTTAAAGTGCACATGTTTATGTCAATACAAGCAAGTTTTGGCTATTGACATTTCCAGAAGCTGAATAGCTATGACCACGCCACAAAATATATATGGAGTGTTATGCATTTCATGGTTTAACCTTTCTGATGCGGAATTATATTTAAATTTTTACAACGTTGTAACTAAGTAGTGGATTTGTGCCAATTACCCATTTTTATATAATCTTGTTTATTTTTAAAGTGTTAATATATGTCATTCGTCCTTGAGAGTTTGAACAAACAGTTCAATTACTAGTATTATATTTCTTAATTTTAAACCGATATGTGATACCATGTTTAGCTGAACAATAAAGTCACGAATATTTTTAAATATGTTTTTATAAAGTTCTACAAGGTAAAAATCTATCGTAAGGCGATCTTTATTTTTGGTTTACAATATAAAGTGTTCAGTTCAGGGGTAGTATTTGATGGCATTGGTTTTTTCATTTTTTTTTTTTATTTTTTTTTTTTTTTTATAAAAAAAAATCTTGTCGCTTTAAGAAAAGAATGGAATCAGTTTTTAATGAGATAAGGATCGAGATAAATTACGGGCTTTTGGGCTTCGAAAATTTCTTCAAAATAACAGTATATTAACATACTTTTTTTCAAAACGCCGTCTCATATTAAGCTGATTTTAATGTGTGAGTCTACTATGATGAGTTACAGATTGAGTTAACGTTTGGTTCTGCTCCACTGATTTGTGCCGAAATTACGGACTTTTGACTTTGAAAATAACAGTTATACGGACTTTCAAATTTCCATTCCTAAAAATGTCTTCAAGCTTTTTTTTGCGAGCGGGGCCATTCGTGTCGTTCTGACACATCTAGTTTTCTAGGTTGATCCCTTAAAAAACCTCAGTTTTCATAGGGATCAGTCATATAAAACAAAAGCTACTTGCCTTTTAACTGATTGATTGCACTTTGACATCTTTCCTAGAACCCCAACAAAAAGTGGCAATGCAGCCGTTCGGAATTGACACGTTAAATTGGACGCTGTGTAAGGGAAAATGTCACGCTCTCTGCACGATAACGAACCAATCCAACAACTCTATTGATTAGGAGGGGGTCCGTAGGTGACTAATTTGTTCTCGTCCTGAATATATGGCTAAAATAGTTGCAATTGGCCGTTTCGGTGTCTAAAGGACTACTGGTAATTTTATTATTTGTACACAAAAATGAAAATAACGTCACATCATTGGTTAAATGTCCATTGTTTAGGACATTTTTAATCAATCACGACGTTTTGGTGTACACTTTTGAAAATATTACCCAGAAAGCATTAGATTCTAAAACGGCGAATTGGACGTTTTTCAAGCTACACTCAATCAATCCATATAACCATTGCACAATATCGTCCTGAATGTGCGTAAAATTATTTCGACGGGACGTTTAGCAAGAATCAATCAATCAATCATCGTCAGGCTAACATGGTCACTGGTTTTTGTCTCGTGGTTCTAGATAGATGTAGTAGGACCTAGTTTTATGTCAGCGTATTGTAATGATATAATAAATTAAGCAGCAAAGACATTTCCACCTGTTTAATCTTGTTTGTATATATTATTTGTTAAATTTATGTCATTTTTCTTCGGTTTTAGTACAAACCGGTATATAATGGACTGGAATGAGTGCTGGGAAAAAGGCAAT